TTTTATAAGAGCATCTTGTCTGTCAGCTTTTTGCAATCTAAATCAGAACCTGAATGCACCTTTGTGCCAAACATATTTGCTTTTCTAAAAATCTCTATAGACTCTATAGGCTCCTCTTGTTTGTGTTCCCAGTGCATGTGTGCTATGGCAGTGCCAAGCTAACAAGCAGAAAGAGTACAGGAAAAGGAGAAAATGGATAATAAGATAAGAATAGAGTGGACAGAGCACAAGTGGAAGAACACAACAGTGTCTTCAACTACCAAAGCTGTAAGAAAAACCAAATGAACGAACATGGATACACAAACTAACAATCTTGTTGTGTTGTCTACTGTAGGTGTGAGTATATGTGTGTTTATGTCACAAAATGTACTTTTGTAATGAGGATGAGAAGCTGCAAACAAGGAGCCAGAGGCAGGCCATCAGCTGAGGTCAAAGTTTTATTAGAATTCATTCAAACCGCGTGCACACTTGCAAATCCTATCTAAAAGAAAACATACTTGGCAGAAGTAATACATGGCTGTTTTTAAAAAAACAAAACAAAAAAACAGCATCTTAGACGGCCACTTCACTCATTTTTGTTCTATTTGCTATTTTCATCATTGGGCGCATTCTCTGCTATGTTCTTACTTCTACATCCTACATCTGAGGCCTCTGCCGGTGTTCAAGCAGTGCTGATCAGATGCTGGATTTAAAGAGGGGTCCCCGAAAAGGAACGGTTTTCATTTATCAAGCCAAGCCCACAGTACTCTGCTGCACTAACAAAACCCTCAGGGATAACATCATTCAATGTTAATCGCAGTTAGAGATTAGGACTGGAAGTTCTGGAAAGACTACTCGAGGGACCTTCTTTTAAAAGATTTTATTTGGTTCAGAGAACACTTGTTAATGTGCTACACATGACCCGCTCCATCCGAGTGGCACCGCCATCTGTTTTCTGTGACTTACACTAACTACCCTTTGTATAGGATTCGTTTTGTTTGCCCCAAAATCACCAATCATTTTTGGCTAAAGAAAATGAATTGGTGCTTTTCTTTCTCGAGTTTGTGAATTTTATATATACTTTTTTTTAAATTTCCAAATTAAAATTTACCTACCGGTAGTTATAGTATCTCTGTTTTATCAAAAAATAATTTTGTAGTCTAGACTAAAGAGTGTTCAAAATTAAATAGTCATTAACATTTACTTCTGCTGATCATTTGCAAGCTAGCAAAACACGGCGTTTGATAAATAACAAATAAGACAAAGGCTCCTTTCGTATTGTTTTACTGATTTACACATTCATCAAACATTTTCCCCAGAATTGAACAAGAAGTACCTGTGCACAGTGCTTAAACAGTTTGGTGACAAAGGCTGATGAGAGTAAAAGCACAGGCTGTACAGAAAGACCAGAGTCCAGAGGGTCCAGCGGCCTCTGTTTGATGAACCTTGCAGTGATCCTGATTGTTGAAGCTGCATCATGTCACAAAGAGCAACTGTAGCAAGTTCAAAACTACAAAAATAGAAACTTTTTTGAAGTGCTACGTTGGCATAAGAGCAACAGTAAGGCATCTTTGACAATAAAGCACAGACATTGAGAGCAAGTGAAGGCACCAGCTCAACACAGCTCGATATTTTTCTTTTTCAAATAACTGTATTTAACAAAAACAAAAACAAAAAAAAATCAGCATTCAGTTGAGGAATTGTTTTCATGTCTGTTTTTTAAGCTAAAGAAGAAAATCAGAGTTGCCACATTCACTGCCAATTAGCTTAAGTTCTACTAGAAATCACCTTCTTAGCTGGAGTTCTCTCGTTAATTTTAACCCAGATGAAACAACTCTGTGAGCGATTCAACAAATACATGAGATGCTAACAAAGTAACTGCTTTGTGCAAATACTGCCTTTAATGATCATATACACTACTCAAAAAATAAATGAGGGTAACGCTCAATAATCACAATATCAGAGATAGTCAGGTAAACTTCAGGGACATCAATCTGTTCAGTCAGGAAGCAGAATCCATCATCAATCTATTTCACCTGCTTTGGTGTAAATGGCAACCCCTGCAAGAAGGGAATGGTTTTGCAGGCGGTGGCATGAGCGTTATCAACCATCTGACAGTTTGGCCAGGAACATGCTCGCGAATAGTCCAGTGGAGGTCATTTTATAGGGCTCCTCCTGTTCTTCCTCACAATAATAAGAAGACGATATCAGTTCAGCTGCTGCATTGATACCCCTTTTACTGTCCTGTCCAGCTCCCCTTGGGTAATTGCCCGTCTCCTAGTATTCATCCTCCTGGAGACACGGCAAACCATCTTGTAACAGCGAGTATGAATGTGCCATCCTGGAGGAGTTAGACTGCCTGTGCAGCAGGCGCTGCGTTGTGTCACTAGCAGTGACACAAGGGAAAAAAGTCACACCAGAGAAAGATCTGTAAGGAGGCATAAGGAGAGAGAAGTGGTCCAAGGCCACCACGTGCCAAACCAGTTCATGTTGGGGGGGTTGCATCGTTGCACAGACAGCGCAACTGGTTGCACCAAAGCAAGTGGATGATGTTCACAATGGCTTATGCTTCTTAAGTGGACAGATTGATATCCCAGAAGTTTAACTATCTTTGTGTTATAAGGTGAAATGATGAAATTTGAATCCCATACACGAGGATATAAAGTATTATCTTATGTATGTGTTATAATTCCTTGGGTTGTCTAAACATGGGTACAAACAGCATTTTTATTATTATTCATGCATCTCCATCTTCAAAATAAATCTAAGAATAAAAATCAATGGATTTTTGAAATTCATCGACTAAAAAAATTTTCATTTGCAACTGTAGGATGGACAAAACTTAGCAGATGAAGCCGTGACCCTGGTCTGTGGGGAAATCATAAGTGTTTTAGTGCATAGACCCAACAATAATCAGTAACAACAGTCTTTTGTTGCAGCCTCGACATTAAAGTCCATGTGTATAGAAAAGCCACTTAAGCATTAAAACATCTACACACACAAAGTCGAAACACAAACTGAGATTTGTTGAAGAAAACACGCCAGTGAGCACTGCAAGTTTCACAGTTTAAGATTTCTTTAACTCAGAGTTAAAGTGTGAGTTTTCTGCAGGTGCTTGTTTTTGCGAATCAGTTACACATAAGCTGCTTGTTCCAGCAAACTGTACAGGCTCTGATTAATCAGTTTAAAAAGACATACTGTCATTGGGAGGTGTGATCAAATCAGCTGTGATCTGTTTTTCTGCATGGGTTTTCATTGGTCGACTGACTGATTTAATGGTCCTGTCACATATCTGAGTACAGCTGAGTGACCAGGTTTGACAGTTTGTTCCTGTTTCGCTTTAGTCTTTTGTCAATATAGTGGAAAAGCAAAGAATCCTGAAAGCGTGATCTGTGCTCCATGTGGTTAACTTTGAAGATATTGAAAGTTCACCAGAAACTGTGCGCAGCGTGTCAAAGATTCACCAGTGACAGATCAGAGAATCCAGCTCTCGTTCCTGTGAAGATACTCATCATTCCCGTGAACTAGTTTTGTGCAAAGCAGTGAAAATTCTTTCGCATCGGAATTCTGATCTGACTACTGGGGTTCACCTCCAGCTCTAGCACTACTGGGAGTCCAGGTATTTGAAGGTCTGCTTGCAGAGCTGTGCAGCCGGGCAGGAGCCTCACTCTGATCTTCCTCCTGCTGAGGAGGCTGGTGAGGCAGACGAGAGCTGTGCATGATGTGGGCATCCAACATCTCCAGCAACAGGTCGTAGAGAGGCACTATGTTCTTCACTTTCATGCAGTGGAGGTGGTCCATGCCTTTGTTACTGCACATTGAAAACAAAGTTGGGCGAGAGGTTAACGTAATGACTTTTGATGGGAACAATCTGGTCAGATGAATGTGTTTCATAACACTGCAGGGCTTTGAATAAATCTGAGCTGTAAAATAAATTCCTTTACAGATCTGCCTCCCTTTTTTTAAAATATCCAGGTTTTAATAGCATGATGTTGGGTCCTGTTACCTGACATGACGAATATGTGAAAGCAGCATGAGCAGGTGAGCCAGGCGGGTGTACTGCTGCTGGAAGGTGAGACCGGTTTTGCTGATGGCCAACACCAGAGCTTCTGTCACAGCGTCCAGGAGGCGCAGCAGCTTGGACCGGCTCTGCAGGTCCTCGCTGCCGTCTGAGGAACTGAGGCACATGTCTGGAAAGCAAATGGGAAGAAATACACTTTAAGTGTGTCTACACAGTAAAGACTATATTACAGATATCAATATAGGAGTTTAATGTTGGAAGCTAAAGTAAATAAAACATTTTGAAGTGCATTAACCTTTGTAAACTGTGCAAAAACATAACTGGATTTTTCATGCAGACATCTTGATTCGGTCACAGCAGGAAAAGGACAGATGACCCAGAGAACCAGCGTGTGCAACACCACCGGTAACATCAGACTGAACCAGCTAAATGGAATTTATCCACAATTTATTTAAAATGCATACAAAAGATTTAACACCCCCGAAAATAACACAGTCTCAAAGGATTGTAACCAGGTGTTATAAATACAAATATTTTTCAAGTGTTTTTTTTATTTACTTTGGCATAAAAAACAAAGGACAGAAGCAAAAGACTTCTGGTAAGGTAACATCGACTCTTTGCTTCAACTATAAACGGATCAAAAGGTGCTTATGCATGTAGTCTGCGCCCAGAGGTGCATTATGAGCCAGGGGGAAAAAAACGGATTTGATTTTGCAGCCCTTTTCCTACTGTGAAACTTTCTGGTAGCAGAAGTCTGAAAAATCCCCGTGTTTTGTTCAACACTAAATAAACACTTGTTGTGCTTGCAAATACAGTTTGAAAAGGGCTGACATGCTCAAACATTTAGAAACATCCTGCCAAAGCATCGAACATACAGTTTGCTCAAATATTTGTAGAGTACAGAACAGTGTCTCACAGATGGTGCCTTGTCTGTACACACTGGACTGCCCTGTCTCCGTCTTTAAGGAGTAGTTTTCATTTTGAGGGTCATTAAAATCTCGTCTAAACATTTGCTTGGTTAGAATCTCTCTGCTTTTTATCTCTGGCAGCAGAACTTTAAATCTGTTTTTGGAACATTCTGAGCTACTTCGGTTTTAGTTTTTTCCACTGCTACAAAAAGATTATTCACAAAACATCACCATGGGGTTTTCCACTGTTTGAGAGTTAGTAAGTAACACAGGGGCTCTGGTCTGGGGCTTTCATGCTATTGAATTAGCAGATGTCAAAGGGACTGGCTTTAAATTGACTAAATAAAGTAGTATGATCTTCAACTCCATGCATTTGTTGATCATTTTCTGTGTGTGTGTGTGTGTGTGTGTGTGTGTGTGTGTGTGTGTGTGTGTGTGTGTGTGTGTGTGTGTGTGTATTCTGAGTGTACAGTGCAAAGATCTGGATGACACACCTTAGTTTTACTGCATACAAAAAACGCGACAGTACCCACAGGTGTTTCTTAGTGGTGGGGTGGGTGGTTTAACTGGTTGCTCTCCCAAACCACTGACTAATCAAGTAAACTCCTTTTTTTCCTTTTAAACTATGCCAGACGTTGAACTTCTTAATAACAACTTAACATAATGCCTTTACTATAGTTTGCAAACACCTACTCATTCCTTTTACAAAACAAATGTTGAGCTCCAAAAGCAGCGTGCTCTTGTACGGATGCACAACTACCACCCCCCCAAAAAAAACAAATAAAATGAATGAGTGGACACATACATAGCATGCATTATAAGTTCATTTTAAAGGTCACAAATAGTTCTTTTTAAACTATATGTGAACACTAAACATTTAAATACATTTTTCATCATTTTGTTCTTATCATGTCTCCTCCTCCATCACTGCTCTCTCTCCTCTGTCACCTAATCCTCTTCCTACTCACCTCAAGCCTCATCTCCTGAACTAAAGTCAGGCTGCTAAAACACAAAAACGTGCATAAACATGCTCTTTTATTCCCGATATTGTCACAATTACTTACAGTCAACAGATTAGACATGCATCCATCCTGACAACAAGCCAGCTAAACAACAGCAGCTGGTTAAAGGCTAACATTATCCCAGCTAACGTGAGGCTCGAGTGCCCTAAACAAATAAAAATAAATAAAAATCACACTTTCACACTGATTACATTCTCATATTGCATGAGTGTGCTTTTTGCTAAGTGTCCAAGTTCAAGAATGCTAGATAGATCCATTTCAAAGACACTTTAAGAGTACTTCTTACACAAAAACACACCATGCCTCACATTTAGTTTGTTGGGATCTGATCATCTTAAATGTATTTAGGGTGACTAGGTCCCACAAGGAATCATGTGGTTTTCTTCTATGTGACAGTAAATGCTCTTACTTGAATCTAAACCATATTCTGTAGTCTTGGCCATTTTAGTCAGCTCTGATTTAATAAAAACAAACTTTTAATAACATTTGATTTTTATATTCTGGGGCTGAAGGTGAAACAGCTCTGTAGTCGGCAAAGTCAGACAAAAGTCTGACTTCGCTTGTGGAGGCAATTAAAAAGAAAACATTAATGATCTCACCAGAGAGGCCTCGACCGTGTTCATCTTCACTTATGTACCACCTGCTACTCCAGCTACTTTAGCAGAACCTCTGAGTCCTCATAGCACAGACTGAAACTACACAGTGTTATTTGAAACTACACAGGGAACACTGTGTAGTTTCAAATAACTAGCAGTCTTCACTGCTAGTTATTTGGTTTATGGACATACTTACCATGTGTAGGCTCACAAGATTACATGCTGAGATACCAATCTAACACCCCATTGTGGGTTCATGTTCTGGAGACAAACAAACAGTCTCAGTCTCACTTACGCACATGCACATTAAGCACATGACACTGAGAGTGGACCTCATGTCCGCCCACACAAACATGCTCACTCACTGGAGTTGAGGAGGATCATGACCTTGAGGCAGACGTACTCCTCCCTCTGCAGCCTGAGCTCTCTCACCCTGGTTGTGGCAGCTATCAGCATGTCAAAGATCTCCACAAAGCCCTGGACGCAGTTTCCTTCTTCTCTAAAAAGACAAAAATGTTATTTAATTGCATCACACTCTTGATTTTTACCTCCACAAATTAGGCAGACATAACACAGATGTAACTCCCACCAAGAAGTAAAAGAGGATCTGCTGTTTTAACTCTGAAGCACTTTACACAAGAGGAAGGAGAGTAACATTAGTGATGTCTCTCAGCTGGCAGAAAAGATCACCAAAAAACCCAGAATAGGTGTTTTAGGTTCTTAAATGCTAAAAACGGGTTGTTGTAGCCTATTGCTAGGTGGTTGCCAGGCAACATGATGCCATCGTAATATGCGATGTAGCCAAGAACCTTTAGGAGCCAGATTTGGTTGCTCAAGCCCTGATGGTCTAGGAGGAGTTGACAGACACAGAAACAAACATACAGAGGTTTGGTGTATTATCATAAGATATTGTGTGTAAGTACACTGGGAACCACTAATAACTCTTTAGAAGCAAGTGCCTCTAATCAGGCGAGTGAAAAAAGGTTTAGGAGGTGGTACCTGCTCAGGCTGAGGTCAGGGCAGAAGATGAGTTTTCCTGGATGGTCCACTGACCTCCACATCAGTCCAATCATCAACACCTCCAGCCAGCAGGACTCCAACAGATGGACCTGGTCTACGAGACTAAGCTCCACAAACCCTGAGAAAAGGATGTAATCATAAAGTACATAGCTGTGAGCAGATGAAGCATATCACAGAAACCTGAATAACAAGTCTAATGAGCAACTAGGCAGCAGCATGAAGAGAAACAGGAGGTAAACAACTTGGTTGGAAGCAATTTTTTTCCATCTCATTGTCCGTAAATGCAAAAACAGAATGCTGACCTAAAAATATCCAAACCAAAAAATAAATAAATAAATAAAAAACAATAAAATAAAACCTAAAACAAGCAAAACCCCTAAAAAGACCACCTTTTTACAGGCAGTGCCATTAAGACTTGATACTGATTAACGAACCAACAAGGTAAAACAAAAACACGGCACCGTCTCAGCAAACAGGTTAAAAAACATAATAACAAGTACTGATTACGAGGCACCTCACAATTTACTAAGAGTTAGATAAATGAAAAAGACCCAAAAAACAGGAACCAGTGTCCCCGAGACAGGCCTTGACTGTGTCTCAGTCTGGAGTAGCCCTTGCTGAAAGGCGGTGGGTTGGGGTCGGTATCTTAGTATCCCCTCGGCTTGTTGCCTGTACACTGGAGTTTTTCCCGATGGACAAACAGTGCCAGGGCCTGCCAGGGCTGCCCTTTGTCACTAATTACCGATCCAGGAGGGGCTCAGAGTAGAGTTGCTACTCCTCCACATCAAAAGGAGCCAGCGGAGGTGTTTCAGGCATCTGACAAGGACACTTCCTGGGTTAAATGGTTCTTTGCTATAATGATTTATTTCACTTTTTCAGGCTTAAATTTGTTAAATTCACCACATGCCACAAGCAGTCAGAATTCATTAACAAGGCTACAGAAATCCACCCTTTGTGATACATTGTTATTTCACAGCTCACTGCCAGACTCCAGTTCCATCACTGCTGCTGTGTTTTACAGGCTCAAACGCTAAATAAAGCAGACACAAATGACTGTGCCAAGCCACAAACACATCATTAGCTGTCTTGAGACAGTGAACTGCTCAGCGAGAAGAATAAAATACCTAGATCTGTTATCATTAAAGCAATTTTTACTGATGTTGTAGAAAGACTCTTTGTATAATCTCAAACCAATTGCATTTCTCAACTCAAGCAAACATGAAAACTAGACGTAATAACAGCTGTTTCAGGAGCACTTTGAAATGCCCTTGTTTTATATAGAAAAGCTTTCATCTAATACAAGATTCAACTAATCAAAATGTTGTAAATGAGAACTAACGATTAATGATGGCAACTTTGTTACTGTGTGTGTTGTGCTATATACTCACCAGCTCTTTTGTCAAGTGCAAATATTGACTTATCAGCTTTCAAATGGAAGCAACTCAGTGCTTTTAAGAAAGTATAGAAGTCAACATGCGAGAGTTCAAACCAAAAATCAGAATGGGGAAAAAAAGGTTATGTAAGTGATTGAACATGGCATGGTTGTTGGTGCCACACTAGTCTAGTCTAAATAGTCTGAAAGAGAGAAAATACGTTGTGATCTGAAAAGAAGTCAGCAGCAACTGTTAAAATCACACATGTTACAATCAAGATATGTAAAAGAGCATCTCTGAATCCGCAATATGTCCCTGAAGCAGATGGACTACAGCAGCTCACTGTGTCCCACTCTTGTCAGCTAAAAAACACGAGGCCAAGATTAAAGTTCACACAAGATAACGGACAAGAAAAGACTGGAAAAACTTTTCCTGGTCAAAACTTTAGATGCTAGAGCCAGAATTTGGTGTAAACAACAAGAACGTACAGATCCATGCTGCCTTCTATCAAAGGTTCAGGTTGGTGTAATGGTACAAGTTTGGGCTTCTTAGTACCAACTGAGCACTGTTTAAATGCCACCACCTACCCAAGTCTTGTGGCTAACCATTTATATTCCTTCATAACTGAAACTATAATGTACTAACTCCAACGTCATCTCATGGCTGCTTGCAGCAGGCAAACACACCATCACAAAGCTCAAACTGGTTTCTTGATCATGACGATGACCTCACTGTACTCATATGGCCTCCTCAGTCACCAGATCTTAAACCAACAGAACATCTTTGGGATTTGGTTGAATAGGAGACTCACAATCAATCACATTGATGTTGCCTAAAAATTACAAAAAGAAGTGTACATTTTCTTCATCAGTGTATACTACACTTTATTTATTCATGACATGAATTGCTCTATTGGCGAAACACTTATTTGTGTCAGCACTCTGGCTCAAACCATTAATTAAGTGGTATTGCCACATTGCTATGTAACTTTGCACATGCACAGTCGGAGAAAATCTGCTGGTAAAGTGATATTTGAACCCTATTTTTGGACCCGTTTTGTTTTATTAGATTTGAATGGGGACACTGCACATACATTTTCTTCTGATTGACCAATGAAAATGGAAGGTCTGATTCTCCACATTCATTTAGATTTTTTGTTGACCTGAATAACCTGAAGAAGAAAAAAAATTTTTTTTAATTATATAAATTCATCTAATTTTTTTTTTGAAATATCACAAAAACAAACACCTGGAATCTTCTTGGCCCAGCTAATCATGTGAACCAGCTCTTTATCTGCCAGGTTGGTGAGCAACATCATGATGCTTGCTTCGGTCAGCGGCTTCTTCGCGTCCTTCATGAGGTAGATATCTGGCGGCTCCGCCTCCAATATCCGCTCAATTAGCTGCTCTGGGGTCAGTGCAGGTTTTTCGGGCTCATTTAATGAACCTTCAGCTGGTCCAGTTATGCCCTTTGGTTCAGCTGTTATGTACTGTGAGGATTGACGGGTTAGCCGCCTTGCCTGCGAATTCCTGTAGTTTCCACGCTCCTTTCGAATACCTGTGAGTAACAAGGCAAGCATTAAATTATAGCCAATTTTAACCCATGTTCCAGACTGTCCATATCTGTTAAATTTTGCTGTTGTTTTCTATATAAGATTGCAATTTTGGGGGGTTAAGAAGGGTAAAGCAAAAATGGCAAGCAGCAAGTCCATCAGTTACAGACAGAAATCACTGAACAGGCTACAAGATCTGGCACCATGTAGTTCCTACTTGGAAAACAAAATGTCGGAATAAACTGAAATCCAAATTTAGGGTATGGGAATCCTATTTACTGCAAACAGATGTTGAAAAGATTTGTTTTGTGTGGAAATTATTAATAGAGCCAGTGGTGGCTTTTAGAGCCAGATCACATTTCTCATATGTAGAAAAAAAAACTAAAGTAAAAGCGCTGGAACCATATTAAAGAACAACATTTGGATTAAACTTTATTTCTATCCAGATATCCCTGCATCATTGCAGTGATACCCATAATTAAAACTTCACGTTTTAACCAAAACACTACAAGAGCAGATCAAATGCAGGAATGAAGACTTCTTTAATGAAATGTGAATTAATAGGCAAACAAATACTAAAATATTATGGAATATTAAAACATATATTGTTCTTGCTCTTGCCTATAATGAAACATAGTTCTGTCATGTTGTTGTACGATTCTACAGAAAAAAATAGAAATAAACTGATCTTACAAGTAAACAAGAACATTAGAAAAATATATTCAAGCATATGTATAATATCAATACTGTATAATTAGTAATCACATCATTCAAATTTTAGATAAAATAAACCAAACATCATCACATGACCAAGTTGTTTAGGTAATAATCAGAACATCAAGTTACTGTTGGCTGGATTCAGAAAAACAAAATGCAAAAACTTCTATCAGAACTAAATGGTAAATGGCCTGCATTTGTATAGCGCTTTACTCAGTCCCTAAGGACCCCAAAGCGCTTCACACTACATTCAGTCATCCACCCATTCACACACACATTCACACACTGGTAATGGCAAGCTACGTTGTAGCCACAGCTGCCCTGGGGCGCACTGACAGACGCGAGGCTGCCGGACACTGGCGCCACTGGTGGCCCTCTGACCACCAGTAGGCAAACATGGGGTTAGTATCTTGCCCAAGGATATTTGGCATGCAGCCAGGAGGCAGCCTGGGATCGAACCACCGACCTTCTGATTAGTGGCTGACCTGCTCTGCCACCTGAGCTACAGCCACCCAGCCATATTTCAGAAATATGAAACAATGTATACATATAATCATACTAACCACATTTGGTCATGCCAACTTCATAGCATTTGCGAAGGCGACATGCCTGGCAGCTCTTGCGGCGGTTCTTGTCAATAGTGCACTGATTGGTTGCCGGGCAGATATAGTCATTGTGTCCTAAAACAAAAAGACACAAAGAGACAGACATTGAGACAAAAATAAAAAGTTGGATAGAAAAAATGAAAAATGAGTTGTATGAAGAAAAATACAATGCAAAGTTGCATCCCTGCACAACAGACAGGCAGACTGAGAATTTCCAGCTTGTGCAACTTCCAGCAAAAATCATTGATGACAAGCAGTCCTTTGTGGTCAGTTCAAGTCCTCTCTCCCTACCCTGGCCATTTTGCTCAAAGACTTAATTTGCATAGGCAGACATATTGTTTGAACAGTGGTATTTTCAGAAAAATGTCAACTGTGATCCAAAATTACCATCTAAATTCAGTTTAGCATGATATACGCATACTGGTTTGCCTTAATGTATAGCAATGGTTAAATGGTCTAGTTTTGAATATATTTGTTCAAAAGCTCAAAGTGTTGTGTAATACAAGATTATGTCATAACACCTGTAAAATAAAGCTTAAATTGACAACATACAAGTTTTAGCTTCAAATTATCATTATGAAATAAATTTTGATTATAATGGGAAGTTAATGACTTGACACCACAGAATGTGGATTTGTTCCAGGCAAGCCTCTGACTAGGCAATCTGTCAGGCAGCGAGTATAAAAAGCTCTGGGAAACTGGACGTTTAAGTGCACAAAGTTTTCCCTGATAAGCATCAGTAGAATCCTCCAGGTGACAACCAGAAAAGCTTCGTACTGAAGTGATAATAGCTCCAGCGTGTCTCCCCCAAATAGAGATGGGAGCAATTATACCATGTAGGACACAGCTATGAGCCAAAGAAGGCTGTTTGGGGAAATGATGTTGTGGATGGGTAGATAAAACCATCACAAAACACATGAAAGTCAGGGAAACTGCTCTTTGTCCAGCTGTTTTGTGGCCTGTGTGAGAACAGTGTGGATGTCACAAATTTGTACTTAAACGTGGAATATTATCAACTTTATTAAGCATGGGAATAAAAGAGCAGAACTAGTACTAATATAATAGATATAAAGATGGGAATTATAGTGACCACTATCCACAAAACATCCACTAACTGAGCCACGAGGTCCAGCAGGGATGAGTCAAAGCCATCAGACAAAGGTCAGCAGGAGGACATCAGATCATTTACGCGTGTGGAGCTCTGCGCAGACTTGCTAATACTGCACAGAAAGTGCGCTGTAGTGACTCAGTGTCAGCGCTACCAACTATTAAAACAGGAGCATCCAAAATCCACCAAGATCTAGGGTGTAAGGTTATATCCTAGAGGACTTATTAGTTTATTCTTTACTAATAAGTCAGCAAGGCATAAACATAACATTTGGATGGGTACGACCAAAGGAGTTACGTCGACATTAATATGAAACTGGTGAAGAAAAGCGCAGAAAAGCACAAAAAAGACACTTAGATAAAGTACAAAATAAAACAGAAGTGGTGTGAAACACCAACCAACAAGAGCAAAGTTGCACATCTTTAGATTTGAGAGAAGCAATCAGGACTTTGCAACAGTGACACAGTTTTAAGTAGTGCATGAACATCTGCTCTACCAATCAATCTGCAGTAATATTTACACCTCTGATGACGTCTCACAAGTGTTAGCTTTATTTTCATACCAAGATTGTTTACACAGACTTTGTAATTGCAGAGAAATACTCCATTTATTTTGGTCATTTCATTTTCAAGCAGAAAGCCCCTGGGGGCCTAACAGGTTAAAAGTTAATTCCCAATAAAACCAACTAAGTTGTTTAATAACATTGCTGTCTGTATTATTGTTACAGTCATAAATTATCACCTTTAAAGTGTTTGTGCTAATAACACCATGTGCGAGACAGGCATGGAGAGCAGCACTGACTGGGAGAGGCTTTAAACAGATGACATACTCAGTTCAATTCAACATATAAGACTTTCAGAATGCACAAGCATCTACTTAAAATCTATTTATTTAATCTATCATCTGTGATATTATTAGGTACAATTAGAATGTATTATTCATCTCCCTTAAATAAACAGGCATCCAACTGAGAAAATTAGCTTTTCAACTTTGCGACTCATTTTATTTCTCTATCTGATAAGAAAACCATTTGGTCAGACAGCTATTTGTTGTGAATGAAATACAGTTTCAAGCACTTTTAAGCACCACATTTGAAATTCAAGCACTTTTCAAACCTTAAAAAGTCAATATTAAAATTCAAGCATTTTCAAGGATTTCAAGCAATTATTCGAACCCTACGTATGTTTTGTCTCACCTTGGATGCTCCTCTTGAAGAAGGCCTTACACCCCTCACACGACCAGACTCCATAGTGGTAGCCTGAAGCATAGTCATGACACACAGCACAGTAGTGGAGGTCTGCCTTCCCACCTGAAGACGCCATGCTCTCCTCGCTCTCCTGGGAGCGCCTCCTCACACTCTTGCTAACAGACAGTTTTGAGTCATGATTTCTTCCCAAGACAAAAACATGTAGATTAAGTATGTAAAACAGTTGATTAAAAGTAATACACAGTAATAAATCACTGAATCAGTATTGTGATTACAGATGATTATTTATAGCTTGCTGTAGCTTTAGTTGAAAAAGAAAAAACTGGAGAAAAAGGTTACTAAAAACAGCTGTTCAATAAATAACAGGTTAAGTACTAATTGAATAATCATTAGCTGGCCAACTACTGATTAAAGAGCACAGCGTAGTCAAGGTGTTGCGCCCAGTCCTACCTGGTTGTTATAACACTGTCCCACGGAGTCTGGGCTGACTGGCCTTGCTGGGATCGACTCTGCGGGCAGTGCAGCGTAATGGGCGTCCCCACACGGCTGTAAAATAAAGAGGCGCTCAGAGACTGATGGACAGAGGAGCATTCAGAAATGCTCGGACCACCATAGCTGAAGATAGTTGGACTGTAAAAAGGTATGGTGGCGAAGTCATGGCCGAGGTCGGTATATGGTGAGCGGATACAGATGGGCTGGCTTGTTTCATGGGACAGACCAGGAGAAGAGGAGCCGAGGATCGGGGAGAGAATGCAGCTACCAGCTCGGCTGGAGTCGATCTCCTCGAGCTGCAGCAGCAGCTTCTCAGGCGAGGAGGCAGCGGCCATCATGACACCAAACGCTTCTAATATCACTTGAATTACTACATTACCGGCAACTGGAAAGAGTCGCCAAAAAACAACAGAGCTAAGAGAGCTACCTCAGAGCTCACATGGTCAAAGCTGAGAAATGGATTTTACTTTGCTTTCTGCTCGGCATAACTGAATATCCTCGTGAAACAGTCCAGAAGATGGAGGTTTACAGGAGAGGAGTGTAAGACAGGGTAGGAGGGATGTTCACTATTCCTTCTCAGTCCTGCCATGGGTTTTTCATCAGTAAAAGCAGCAGAACTTTCCACCTGGACAAGAAAGAAGAAGGGACAGGTTGATATACTGGCTTGACCTGCGATTGTAGATGAAATAAATATATTTCATTTACAATCTCTTCTTTTAAACTTTGGTAAAACTTCATACTTAGCTCCCCTGATAATATCTGAGTACAATCAGTTTACAGAAAAAAGGGAAAAAGTAGAATCAAAAAGAACGAAAAGAGTGGGAACAGTAGTCCCAGCTAAGCCTACCACTCCCACTCCACAAAGAGAAGCTACAGGGTGTATAGATTTCTCCAAAACACTGCACATACTAGGCTTATACGTGGCATGCACATAGGAGGAATTCTAGTAAAATTCCTGAATCACTGGAACTGGTGCAAAATTGAACCCTTCTAACTGTCTGAGCCCCTCGCCCCATCTCTAGGAGTGAGCCCACACACTCTTCAGCGGAAGCTTACTTTTGCACAGTGTAGTGGTTTATAGGGCTGTGCGATATGACCAAAATCTACGTATACATTTTTAGACACAAGTTGTAAAGGCCGCCGTTTTCTTTGTATTTATTACATGGCGTGCTGCGGGGAAAGCCTGTTCTAACGTTTGAGTCTAAGGTTTATTTTTTAGCACCTGGCGGCTCTTTTTTACCTCTCATCCGTAAATAATCTGCTCTTTCACGTGATTCAGTTTATTTTGAAAAGTCTCAACAGGATCTTGAGCTTTATTGTGAAAGGTGTATGTGGAACATAAACAAGCCACACACGAAGGTGTTACCGTCGCTGTTACTAACGACAACGCATAAAAACAGGCGCTTGTCCGTCAGTAGTGTGGTTATATTACATATAAGAGAAAGAAAGAACTTTAAGAAATTAATATAGCCACTACAGTGACCATCAGAACGATGAAAAAATATAAAAATGTCAGCTCTAACGATCAGTAGACGCTACAATTTCACTTGCTTCTTCAAAACACCTGCAGTATCTACCAAAAATGGTGAGAGGAAAAAGAAATTGTGATTTATGATGCCCTGTGGACAGAAACACCTGAAAGATCAATAAATGCAGTGCGAGTGCACAGTAACGCACCACAGTGCAGCCCAAGGACACGTTGGTTTACTCTTACCACATCTGATGAATCAAATCCAGCAGTTAATCATTCCTGAATGGCAGGAGTCTGTCTTCAGTCGCTGGTACACAGTGTCTCTACCTTTGTGGCATAAAGCCCACACCTGTAAGTCATTACTTATCCAGGAAAAACGCCTGAATTAATCTCAGTAAATATCAGAGAAGAGTAACAAACTCGATAACCCGTAGGAGTAGTTGGAGGCTTCTGCTACAAGTAAAATGAGCACTGCTAAAGAAACGGCAGTAAATGGACTCAGAGCTTCAACTGTCATAAGTGCCAATTAAATATTTGGGACAGTTTGAAAGAAACCAAGGTGAATTCTCCTTTTTATGACATGAAATTCAACCATGCCTGCAAATGCCGTTCTTACAGATGTGAAAACATAATGAAAAATGAAGGCAGGGAAACACAAAATAATATTTTCATCAGTGACCTCAAGGATTTATTACGAAGCATGAGAGTTATGACCTCTACTGTGGAAGTTTTGCAAACAAACTTTTCCGATGATGCCCTAAAGACATGTGACACATTACAGGCCACTGAAGGATGAACAATTTACATGAAAAACACCCAGCAGTTGAGAGATTCATCCAATTTTGGTTTGATTTGTTAAAATTATTTTCCAGATAATCTATTATTTTGATGACTATAAACAAGTGGGAAAACATCTAAAGACGGGTTATGGACCTAGTTATGCGGTACAAAAAACATAAAATCCTCACATTTATAAAGCTCAAACCTGGATTTCTGATTTTAAAAACTCACTAAAAGAAAGGATCGTAAAAACTGTTTCCAGTTTCTGTTGATTAATTGAATAATCATCAGCATTAGAAATTTTCACTGTGGAAAAGTTCTCGGTTTCAGACAATGCACAGAGCAGTGTGTTATTCTCTTGTGAAACAGTTGTGCTCAAAATTTAAAGCTTTCAGCGTGCGATAAATTGGAGTCCTGCGGTGTTTGAGCTGTTGTTCACTCAGCTCTTCCTGCCTCATTTTTTTATGTGAATGTGCAACTATTTTTTCTCTTTTGACCTAAATAGCAGGTAAAATTCACACAGTACATAACTTTACTGAGGTCAGTGGATAAAATTCTTTTATTTCAAAGTCAAAGTCCAAGGATGTTTTATGAGGTATGGAAGAAGCCGACTGGGGATGGCTCTGGTTTGCTCTGATATGGTTTAGCACCTGTTTAATGGTTCATCTGAATTTTTTATTTTCTAGTTTGAAAAGCCAAAATTTGTTATAAATACAGGGGTCTTTTAGCCTTTAGGTACATAACACTTCAAATCCTGCCCCCCCCACACACACACACACACACACACACACTCTGGACCCCCACCGATTCGCATACTGCCAGAACAGGAGCACAGAGGATGCAGTCTCCATCGCACTGCACTCTGTCCTCTCACACCAGGACAACAACAACAACACCACGGTGATTGGCCTCATCAACGACAACGATGAGGTACAGGGAGGAGGTGGATCGTCTGGCTGAGTGGTGCGACAGAAACAACCTGCTGCTTAATACCGAGAAGACCAAGGAGCTCATCGTGGACTACAGGAGGAATGCTGACCCACATCCACCCATC